CCGAATTTTAACTTGAAGTTGGTCTTTGTATAAGGTCTAAATATTAACAATAACACCATATTGATAAGAAACCAATTGGTGTGGTAATCAATTAAACATACCAATTTAACAAGATCATAAATAATAAGAAAATTTCGAATTAGGTATTTTTATACGCACAATAACTTACGTTGGTGCGGTAATCAATTAAACATAAAGTTATACCAAAAAATAATCAGTGAATCGGCTGTTTAATAACCACCAAAGTTGATTTGCTATACCACCAAAAAATATCACTCGTAGAAAAAAATATTACTTAAACCTAATAATATAACAAAAAAAACTAAATTTATACCAAAAAACGTACGTGATGAGTCCCATGCTATTAAACCTAAAAGATTACCAGATGCACTATACTAATAATCAAATCATATAAATTTTATGATACACTACAATGACGTACAATATAAACAAACGAATAATTATCGAAAACATTAAACACCGATGGTGTGGAAAAACAAATATTAGCAACGTAAAAAAATACCAAATCAATCATTTTTTATTCACATACCTGATGAGTCCCTTCGCCTGTTGCGTTGTATTAAAATTGAAAATTTGTTGGTATCCATTTTGAATTGTCGATCAAAGTAGTCAGAGAGTTTTATTTTGTTAGAAATCTCTCTTTCTGGGAGAGAATATTTAACAACTCTGAGTAAATCAGGGAAGGTAAAATAAATTGGAGAAAATTAAGGGATATGTGATTTGGTGGGTGACTCATTCTACGTTTCTTTTTTTTTATAATTTTTTTTTATATATTAATTCTAGTTTTGTAAAAAAACTATTGCTATATAAGTGGAAAAAAAGTATTGTTATATAATAGTAATTAAGGTACTTAAATTGTATACTTAAGTTTTTTACCCGCAGTGAACCCCTGAAGAAAGTTAAACTTAAGATCAAGAGACTTTAGATTATAGAAATGTAGTTCTTCTAGGTGTCCTGTAAGTGAATTATGTGAAATGTTTAGGTGCGACAATGAGTCCCATCTCATGTTGCTAAACTAGTTAGGGATTGGGCCATGAATCTTATTATTAGAAGGGTAAAAAAACTTAAGTATACAATTTAAGTACCTTAATTACTATTATATAACAATACTTTTTTTCCACTTATATAGCAATATTTTTTTACAAAACTAGAATTAATATATAAAAAAAAAATTATAAAAAAAAAGAAACGTAGAATGAGTCACCCACCAAATCACATATCCCTTAATTTTCTCCAAATATTTTACCAAAAAATAATCAGTGATTTGGTGGGTGACTCATTTTCTTCAATATAATGATTGGTTGTTGCACTTCTTAAGATTTGAAGAAGACACTCAAAAGCAAATTTTGTTCTTTTTTAACTTGTAAGCAACATTAAATCATTTTTTTTTAGGAGAGAGTTCAATATTGAGAATAAAAATAAAATAGAGAATAAAAAAGATGAGTATATGGTAAATAATAATATAAGGTCAAATTTTTAGCAGATTTATAAGGAAACACAATTTCCCACTTAAGGAAATTATTTTCAAAAAATGTTTCATTCCCTTAGAAAAGTGGGGAAACTAACGGTTATTTTTTTGTATTACTTCTTACATGTTTTTTTATTTTAAAATATATATAATTTTAAGTAATATGTATAAGTATTTTTAAAAAAATTGGGGGCCCCCAAGTGATGACTTTAGTGGCCTAGTGGTTAAGACGACCCTGCTTGGAAAACATGGATAGTCTATTTGTGTTGGACTTGAGAAGCAATAGTTTCAGTGGGAGTCTTCCACCGTTATGTAGTCGGACCACTTCACATTTGAGGACCATTGTCTTGAATGGTAATCAATTTGAAGGACCTGTCCCGATGTTGTTGCTCAACTGTAATTCCTTATAAATCCTTGATGTAGGAAATAACAGTATAATTGGTACATTTCCAACTTGGTTAGGAACTCTTCAACAGCTTCAGGTCCTTATATTAAAGTCAAACAAGTTCCATGGACCTATAAGTGCCTGCCAGACTGAATTTTGCTTTCCCATGTTGCGGATCCTTGATGTTTCTCGTAACAAATTCAATGGTTCATTGCTTCCACAAGTTTTTAAAAACTTCATAGCAATGATCAAATTAGATGACACGAACAAAGGTACGATCTAATATATGGAACCAGATCTTGACGTGAACATAAGGTATATAGATTCAGTGAAGTTGGTGATCAAAGGCCAGGATATTGATCTAGAAAGAACCATGACAGTTATAGATCTCTCAAGCAATCATTTTGATGGTGTGATTCCCAAAGCGTTAAAAGATCTTAGCTCACTTTGGCTACTCAATTTATCCCATAATGATCTCAGAGGAGATATTCCAACGGAACTGGGACAAATGAATATGCTTGAAGTGTTAGATTTCTCATGGAATTGGCTCACTGGAAAGATTCCAAGGGAACTGACTAGACTAAATTTCCTGGCAGTCTTCAACCTCTCTCAGAATGTTCTCGTCGGACCGATTCCTCAAGGTTCACAGTTCATGTTAAATTTATGGGTTCGAGTCACCAACAACTATAAAATACTCCCTCCGTTTCAAAAAAACTGACCGCTTTTCCTTTTTAGTCAGTTTCAAAATGAATGACCTCTTTCTTTTTTTGGTAACATTTTAATTTCAACTTTCCACGTGGCATGTTTAAGGCCACAAGATTAAAGGACAATTTTGTACATTTGACATAACTTTAATTTAGGACCACAAGATTCAAAAGTCTTCTTTATTTTCTTAAACTCCATGCCAAGTCAAACTAGACATTTTTTTGTGAAACGGAGGGAGTAGTACATTTTTCATGTTACAAATTTATTTTTCCTTTGTGCTATGCATAGAGTGGAACCATTGAATGATCAGTATTTTGAAATTTTGATGGAATCCTCCTAGTTTAATCTGCTGTTGAGTAATAGTTCTAAGATTGTTAGGATATATGCTTTTTTCCTTCTTCTGAGATGCTCCCACACAGGCTCTTTGCATGAAATTAATAGTTTGTGGCGGCAAACAAACTATTATATGTGTACTTGAGCACGTCGAACTGATGCTTTTTTCACATTATTCAAGCAGATTGTCAGTTTAACACATTTTTATTTTGAGTTTAAGTATACCATACGAATCAATGATGTCAACATTCAATACAATAAACACAACAACTACAGAGAGTAGCTATCAATATCATCTTATAAGAATTCTGGTCCTCCAATGGCACCTCAGACCGGAAAATTAGCTGTATACCATTTCTTTTCACAGTTATTGTGAATGCCACATGTTTCACACCAACAACTCCTAATGTTAACAAAATCAAGTTTACGACAGCAAAATTAACATAGAGTGACTCTGATACCATCTGTAACGGTCCAGCCAGGTAGTGATATTGTCTGTTCCGGGCTTAGACCCGCATGACTTTAAAACGCGTCACTAGGTGGTAAGGCTTGCTTACTTATATATCCAATATCTCTCCTATGTTTTGCCGATGTGGGACTTCTTATAGGGCGTCACAATCCATGACCAAGATCGAACATTCAATATTCCGGACAACAAATTAACCAAAAGCTAGGCCTACTAGCTTAAAACGTTTCCAATTTATGACAATGTTAGACTTAGACATATGATTTCAAGTAAGAATTGAAAATAATTAGTGTTGGAATGTATGCGTCACCAGTGATCACAGGACCAGGTCCCTGACATAATAAAATTACAGAAAATAAATAGCACAATGTAAAATAGGCACAAGAGTTTTACGTGGAAACCTCCTTGCTCAAGGGAGTAAAACCACGACCTGTCACACAGGATTTTCAACTGTTTTCACTAATCTTCTCAAGTAAAAGTGAAACACAGATTACAACCACAACAGTGAGATTAACACCCTAATCCCACAATAAGTAATACTCCTATTACTTAAACGAGCCAAAGCAATAATCCTATTGCCCACTAAACCAACTAACTCTAGTTGATCTAGACTTTAAGAACCCCCAAGGCTCACTCTAGCCACCAACTCCGATCTCCAAGATAAGAGCTTAAACGAGCACCAACTCTGCTCCACCACACATCAACTAACTCTAGTTGACACTCCTAGGCAGTGTTTTAAAAAACTCTGTTGGGACTCGCCTCGGGGCTTGCCCTAGGGCGGGACTCTAGCAAATCACCCCGAGACTCAAGTGTGGGGCTTAGTTCTGTAAGACTTACGCCCTAAGTGCCCGATTGTATGCCCTAAGCACGCCTAACGCCCAACGCTCGAGGCTCGCCTAACAGATCTTACACAAATTATGTGTTAAAATCTTTAGTTAACATTGTTGACCCTCATAATTCTTGAATAATTGATGATACATAATAATTTTTAATCTATATAGATAAAGAAGATTGAGAATAGCTCAAATAACAAGTTTTAGCATCGCATCTTTCCTATTTGGTAACATTGTGAAAGTACTTACATATTACGTAAGTTTTCTTTTATAAATACGTCATGGAATTTTACTTTTTCACTTATCAAATTTCAAATTTCAAATTTCAAATTTCAAATTTC